TCCAATCCAAAGAAAACCAAAATTAACAACCCCTTAGTTACAAGTTTAAAATATCATTTAATTTATTAAAATTTTTATTTTATTTTATTTTTTATATTTCAAGAAAAAAAGATATTTTTTTTAATTTGTACTCTTAAAATAAAAGTTAATAATATAATTAATATATTTTTTTACATTAATTATTAAAAATTTTAATATTAATTATTATTAAAAAATAAAAATTAATTTTTATTTAAATAACTATCTAATTAAAATAATTTACATAAAATAGATAATGAAGTTAATGATAGGTTAATAAAAACAACAATAATTATAGAGACCTCAAATTAGAACAAAGAATAACTTCAATCATCTCCAATTTCTACCCCAAAGGGGTGACTATTAGTGGTTAAAACCTTAAACTTTCAAATTAGAGATTTAAAGTTTGAACCTTAAGTCAAGTGAAAAGAGATTTAAGGAAAATGGAGAGTGATCTCATTTTGTACAATTCATCATTATCAGATGTACTAAAAAAAAAAAATCATCACCAATTTCTTACAGCATTTGAATATTTGAGACCGACGTTAATCGATCTGAGCCTTGTCATATGGTTAGGGATTGAGGGACTTTGGCGTAACAAACCCAACATAAGAAATTTGTTGCTCTCTTCCAATTTTAAAGCAAACACTAGTAAAATTCCCGTTTTTAGCTACTACTTATCAACAACATGAAATAGCTTGTCAGTGATATAGATTTTCATTGACAAAGCTCATGTTGCTGATGCCCAATTCCCCTAAAAAGTAAGCTTAACTTTCAACGACAATGACCATGTTGCTAAAAGTCACTTTTAGCAACAAACACCATATTGCTGATACCTATGTAAGTACCCATACACCAAAAAAGTAAGCTCAACTTTCAGCAACACGGTGCTTGTTACTTTCGGCAACAAGGACCATGTTGTTAAAATTTTCTGATGGGATAAACCATTAGCAACATAACCTATGTTGCTGATATTATATATTAGCAATATAACCCATACTGCTATTATTCATTGATCAGTAGCCACACTCTTCCCAACCAGTAATTAGCAACATGGGTAATTGGGTAATTAGAGTGAGATTTATCGACATAATCCATTTCGGTGATAATTAATAAATTTTTTTTAGCATGTTCTTTATTTTTCTAATTAATTTTTCTTTTAATTCAAATCTGGTATATTTAATTTTTTATTTAGTGTGTTCAAATTTAATTATTCACTTTTGATTTTTAAGATATCATTTAATTGTTTATTCTTATTAACCTTTATTTTAAAGGCCAAAGCCCCTATTTGTACCCTACACTTAATTGTTTTCCACGGTCAACACCTTCCAAATATTTTCCTCCCTATTCACACCCTCAAGTTTTCAAAACCCGTGAAAAACCCAACATTTTAACGCGCCGTCACGGCACCGTTACAGAATGCACTACGTGGCACCCAGAAATT